TGCGCCGGTCCTCGCCTCGGCCCCGCGTGCGGCCCCGCGCAGCGCCTCCTGCCTCCGCCCCGGCCCTCGCAGCGCAGAGTGGGCTGCTGAGCCCTTCGTATTTATACTTCCTTCCCGGCTTTGACATAAGAGGTTTATTTTTGATCTCTCACTATTCCCGTTTCCCCTCCCCTGGGGGCAAAGAGAGAAACTGAAAAGGGAGTGGGAGAGAAGAAGAAAATCGGAGGAAATGTAAAACCAATCAGGAGCTAGCGAGACCCGTGGCCACCCCCCTCCCATTAAGTGTCAACTCCAACTTTTTTTCTCCTTCCCCTTTAGGCAGGACCCACGTTAACTCCTACGATGCTGAAGAGGCCCCTGAGGGGGCAGCTTTCTTAACCCTGCGGGAGTCACCCCGGAGGTCCAGACTTGTCACAAGAAAGAGGTCTCCGGAGAAGGTCCCACAGCTTTGTCTTGTAAAACACAAGCGAGAGCTGGGAAAGGTCAGACGAAAATCATGCAGTCCACTAAATATCGCTGCACGGCCTAAAAAGCCCTTACCTGGTTAAGGGACCAAGGACCTTTGTGTTCTGTGACTGGTGGGGCAAAGCCCAGCACCGCTGGAACCTATCAGCAGTGAGGTGGCCGCGCGATGTGCGATCAGCCCAGAAAGTTAGCAGCTCCCCAGCAGGAAACCAGGTCTCCAGTCCCAAAGACGCTTGTTTTCTGCCCTGCAATGCTGTTAGTTACTGGTACAGCCCCAAGGACTGCAGGAAGGGCGGCCGGACTCCCTCACTGCGCTGCACCCTGCTGCAGGAAAAGTGTGTGTGGGGTTGGTGCTCTGCGCTGCCACTGCTTCTGGAAAAAGAGGGTGGTCGTGGGGCCACAGGCAAAGAAGAAGGGCATGGCCTCCAGACTACAAAGCTCAGCATTCGTATCCTACAGCAGTCTCAATGGCTTACATCTAGGTTGGAGTCTGGATCCTGTTCTCTAGGTAAGGGTTCTAGACTTAGCCCTCCCCCCATGGCCTTTCTCTCAGTTGCCAACTGGAGGATCCCTTGGGACTCCAGGACCAAGGCTTGAGATCCTCTGCCAGCTCACCTACCCACAGCCTCCCAGCTCTTTGCTTATGCTGGTGTGTGGACAGTTGAGGCCATGCCTGCTTCTTTTTATCACTGTCCCCTTTGGGTAGCTGTGGAGCTTCAGCATTACACTGAGACACTTGGAACTTGTTACTGTCAAAGCAGAGGCCCTTGCTGCAGCAGAATTGCTTCTGTGACTATAGAATCCAGGGCCAGGCCCTGCCAAGTTCCCCCCAAGTGTCTCCTTCTTTTCTTTCTGGTCAACATGAAGGGATGGCGGTGGATTGACAAAAAGGTGCATCTCTCAATCCAGCAAACCATGGCATTTTCTTCCCTGAATAATGTATGGTAGAGGAACAACTCTTTTCAGGGATTGGGCTCTTACAATCAGGGGAATGGAAAGAATGGCTTCCTCCTTGTTTACCCCCAATAGACCTGCGCAGACAATAAGCAATCCCATTTGCTCCAAGGCTGTTGTGTGTCTGTGCTGCCTTGAAGCCCTGTATGTGCTGTTTCCCAGAATAAAACTGATTCTCAGGAGCTGTCACGTCCTCTGCTTTTACCTTCTTTCTCCTTTGAGAGCAGCTGATAAGAGTGGGGTGGTGGCCCCTGCTGTGCCTACTTCTCTCCTCCTGGGTGTCTGTGCATTAATGGATACAAGTGAGAGACCTGAGCAGACAGGAAAAGCTGGACTGTCATACTGTGGGGAAGGCTCTGGAAATGGTTTTTTTTTAAAGATAGAAATGCCACCCAAGGACAGCCTTTTGGAAGTTCTCTTTACAGAGGCAAGTTACTGAACTCTGGACTTTATCTTGCTTCATTTCATCAACAACCACAGCAATGACAACAACAAACTGCTGCGGGCTGGCTAGCCACCCCATGAGCCTGCTGGCGGCTCCTCTCTCCCTCCTTGCCCGGTGGCTGTGCCTTGCTGGTCACTTCCAGGGGGTGCCTGGCATTTGAAGTGCAGCCACAAGGTGTCAGGCTTCCCTTCACTATGCTGAGCTCTGGCCTTGCTGTAGGGATGGAGACCCGGTGGCTTATAGCGGAAGCCCAAAGACCGGCAGATTAAGTCAGTACAGCGAAAGGAACACCAATTTACCTGCTGATGAAAACACCAAAGGAGCACCTTGCTTATTCCAGCGTTGCTACATTACCACTCTTTCTCCCTTAATATTACAGTGAGGGTTGGCAAACGATGTGCAGAACTAAATCTTGAGTGCTGCCTCTTTTTGTACAATCGACAAGCTGAGTGGCTTTTACATTTTAAGTGGCAAATTAAAAAATTAGAAAGATGATTAATGTTTCTTGACACTAGAAAACAGTATAAAATTCAGATTTCACTGTCCATACAGAAAGTGTACTGGGAAGTGACCACAGCTATTCATTGACATGTTGGCTGATTTTGAGCTATTTGAGAGCATGCACGAGTAAGCCTAAAATATTTACTATTTGGCTGTGTCCAAAAAAAAAGTTTATAAATTTTTGAATTAATTTGAATTCATCAAATTTGGAGTGTGGGATTCTTTAGAATCAGTATGTGGATTCTCTCTCTCTCTTTTTTTTTCTTTTTTCTTTTTTAGCATTGGGAATCAAACTCAAGACCTTACGCTTGTCTGGCAAGCACTGTGCCACTGAACTATATCCCCAGTCCTTAGTCCCCCCCTTTTTTTGAGACAGGGCCTATCTACGTAGTCCAGGCTGGCCTTGAACTCACTATGTAGCATAGGATGGCCTTGAACTCATGGTGATTCTTCTGCTTCAGCCTCCTGAGTTCTGGGATTACAGGTGTCCCACCACACCCAGCATCTATATGGGATTCTTATGGATAGCTCAAAGTATTTATATAAGAAGAATTATAAAGAGGGAATTGTATGGAAAGTAAAATACCTTTGTTTTGTTTTAATTCTGAATTTACAGTTATTCATTATTTAATTGATCTTTAAATAATTAAAAGGACTTTTACATTTATGGTGGTTATACTGTAGACCTATTGTGAATTTAAGTAATTTGTAATAAATTAATACCATTACTAACTGGTTATTTTTAAATTTATAACTAGAGTTTTATATGGTGCATATTGCAAAGTTTTAGTATTTATTAAATTTTGGTGTTCTCTAGAATTCCAGACTCTTTACAATTGGAGAAAACATTGTGGTCATCTAATCTGTTTGTACTTTTGTGGAGAAGAAAGGGAAATGTAGGTTTCAGTGACTTCCCAAAGTTATACAACTAAGGATGTTTTTCCACTCAAATGCAATGTTACTTTCCACTTGAAATAAACTGTTTTGCTTTAAAGTTTCCTTTGCAACTCACACCTTTTCATTAAACTTGGGTGCTAACTGTTGGCCAGGCATTCTCCTCAGTGCTCATTTTAATTTGATTTAATTTTCATTTACCCTTCAGTAATAGTAACTTCTATCTTTTGAGTACTTGCTGTGGGCTGAACATTGCAATGTGCAGCTCACAAATGTTTTCTCAGTTATCATGAAATCCTCTTAAAAATTTACCTTACTGATTAGGAAATAGGCATAGACAGATTACTAGCTAGGCATAGACATTCTAGATCGCCTAGCTAGTAAGTATGTCTCTTAACCAGTGCCAACTAAGTAGAACATTTTCCTGGAGAAACTGTCTTACACAGAATTAGTGTCCTTTTGATTAAAGGATTAATCATGCCATATAGACCAGGAAGGGACCCTAAGAAGGGTCTGTCCTCTTCACTAGCCTTTTGATAAGGCCTCAGGGAACGAATAGCTTCTCTTGAAAGCCTGCTATGACACCTAAATATAAGCAGAGCTTATATTTTTAAACAGAGCAGTACTCTTTTATGTCACAGTTCATGCTCATTTCCTATAACTTTGGCGATTATGTAATGGCTGTAACTCTGCATTGTCTACAGTAGAGAAAGGATTTCCTGGTCTTTGTCTATGGTATCCCAGCACATACATCCCAGCAGACCCAATTTGATTTTTGTTGTCATGTTTATGTTGACGTTCACCTTGTATTCCCTTTGGTGTGCAGGTTTTTGTGGGTATTCACTTGGATATATGCAGGATTTCCTGTGTATTGTTATCTGCTTAATTCTTTTTTTGTCTAAATAAATATCTTTTGGGACCTTTGGAATTTTACTCAATGTTCATTAATATTCTTTTCTTTTTTTTTGGTACTGGGAATTGAACTCAGAACCTTGCTCTTGCCAGGCAGGCGCTGTGCCATTGAGATATACCGCCAGCCCTGGCTTTTGTTTTTTTAGGACAGGATCTCACTATATCATTTAGGCTGGTCTTGAACTCACTATGCAGCCCAGGCTGGCCTTGAACTCAACATGATTTGCCTGCCTCAGCCTTTTGAATGCTGGGATTACAGGCATATATCATCATGCCTGGCTCATTCACATTCTTGACACCACTTTAGGTTTAATTCCCTGCAAAGTCATAGCTATTCTGATTCACTTTTCTACCTTCATCTGGCCGGCTTGGTCTTCATAGATGCCAACTCAAAAGAGCTGTCTCCAGTCCTGTTATCTGTATCACCTAAAAGC